AGCACCATGCAAGTCCCACAGAGGGAGCAAATGTGAGGAGATTATGCATCAGTCTTCTGTGAGCCATCGGCTGCTCTTCCACTGTGTACTCTTTGCTACTTTGAAAACACAGCAGACAGGCTAGCACGTCGAAGGAGCTACTTGCAGATTGATTTCCTTGCTTTGATAGCTACTTGGCATGGCAAAGTTTGGCTCCATTCTATTTTCAAATAGAAAATTTATACAGAAATGAGAAAAACCACCACACCCAGCAATGAATTAATAATAGCTGCCAACTAGCTGCAAGAACCATTATACTCATAACGCTTCCCAATGCTGTTCGCATTGCCTGCGAAAGAGAATTTGTCCTTAAGCTGCTTATTTTCAAACTACATGTGAAGACAACAAATTGTATGGCATGTTTATCCAATAAGGCATAGCAAGGAAACTAAAGAATCAGATGGGAGGGAGTGAAAAGAAATAGAAATTTAACAGCCAGCCAGCCCGAAATAAAACAGGCAAGATTAGGAGACACATGTACAATTCTCCACGGTCCCTAAAGTCTCTAGCGAAAAGGTAGAAATGAACTAATTTATTAGTAAAATCAAATCAGGGGCAGTAATTTCATGTTAGTGAATTTACATGTAATAACATTAGGCTCCCAACCTCCATTTCACCAGTGTGGCCCTCTCCGATGATGAATGAGGCGCCTAAAGAAAGATGATAGTTTGATTGTTTTCACGGCAAACAGATCAGCATTTTAATTTCTTGCCTCTGTGTTTATTGCTTATTTGGCCCCTTGCTCGGCTTGTAAAAACTTGGCTAAATGGAAATGAATAAATGTAATTACTGTGGGTGACAGTGGTAATCTGTGTGGGTTTTTCATATTGGCTTTGCCAGCGTTAATCTAATCACCGGAGAATACATGTCACCGCACAAATGCACTGACAGAAAGCAGAGTTTTCAGTCAGTGCCAAATGTACACAGGCTGGGAAGCACAGACACAGACGGCTGCTTCTGCACCCACAGCTTGCCTCTCCTCTGCTACAGGAGCAGAAGCCACAGAGTATCCTGGAAGGTGAATGTGTGTATATGAAATGGTTCATAGTTTGAGGGATCCCAAAGAAGGCTCACAGATGACCCTGAATCCAATAGAAATGGCAACCAATGGCCTGGGCACAGTGGCTTAGCCTGTAATCCCAGTACTTTGGGAGGCCTGAGGCAGGTGGATGACCTGAGGTCAGGAGTTCGAGACCAGCCTGACCAACATGGAGAAACCCAGTGTCTACTAAAAGTACAAAAAAGTTAGCTGGGCTTGTTGACAGGTGCTTATAATCTCAGCTACTCAGGAGGCTGAGACAGGAAAATCACCTGAACCTTGGAGGTGGAGGTGCAATGAGCCGAGATCGCACCCCTGCCCTCCAGCCTGGGTGACAGAGCAAGACTCCGTCTGGGGGGGGTGAAAGAAAGAAATGGCAACCAATGTTTTCCCCAGTGCAGGAATGAGTCCCAGGGCATAGGAAAGTAGAGACTGAAATTTTCCTTTTCTCCCCGGTACTAAATGGCTGGGAGGGCTGGTTAATGAGTGGCTTCACCTTTCACGGTTTTGTTTGCCACCTATAAGACAGGGATGGGACAAATCAGATTGTTTGATGTTTGCATTGCAGAAGTATCAGCAGGGGGTGAACCAGGCAATCATTGCAGGGTAGGAAGGATGAAATGAGATAATGTATGTTAAAGTATCTTGCAAACTACAAAGCAAAGCTAAATGAAGCAGAAGAGAGTCCTCCAAAATAGACTTTATTATATTTAAGATTTATTTTAACAAAGCAGCAGGGAAGCAAAGGATTATTCAGTAAATGGCAATTGAATGGCTGGTTAGCATTTTGGAAAGAAAAATAAATCAAGACCTGTAACTTAGAATATTGGTCAAAAGGAATTCCAGATGGATAAAATGATTAAATACGACAATAAAATGTTAGGAAAACCAGATGAGGAATTTGATATGCACTAGATTTGGGGGATTTGAGAGAGGGCTCCCTACACTGAAAAACAGTAAAATATATATATAAAAGGAATATACAATTTTGATGACATTAAGTTAGAAACTTCTGCAGTCAAAATAAGGTAGCCCAAATGGGAAAGCAAATAATATTTTCAACAAATAAGGCAAGGGCAAATAACTATGTTAAATAAAATGCTCCCAAATACTTATTTTTAAAATGACATCATTAATAACTGATAGAAATAATACAGATGAATGATGAATAAGTGTCCAAAGAGAAATACTACTAATAAATTCATGAGGAAAAATGTTCAAACTTGATAAGAATCAAAGAAAAGCAAATTTGAACAAATTAGTAAAAATAGATAACACCTGATATTTTCAAAGCTGTGAACAGACTAGACATTTCTAAACTGCTAATTGCAGTTAAAGTCAGTGTAAACTTTTTGAAAACCAATAAACATAAAAGTTTTCTAGTTTTGACCTAGCAATTCTACTTCTAGAAATACAATTTGAGGAATATTTTTAAAGAGTGAAAGGATTACATTTCTAAAAGTATATGAAGTAGTGAAATATAAGAAATAAACTGCAAGGCTGGAAGTGGTGGCTCATGCCTGTAATCCCAGCAGTTTAGGAGGCCTAGCTGTGTGGATCACCTGAGGTCAGGAGTTTGAGACCAGCCTGGCCAACATCGTGAAACTCTAACTCTACTACAAATACAAATACTAGCCTTGCATGGTAGCATGTGCCTGTAATCCCAGCTACTTGGGATGCTGAGGCAGGAGAATTGCTTGAACCTGGGAGGCAGAAGTTGCAGTGAGCTGAGATCTTGCCACTGTCCTCCAGCCTGGGTGACAAAGCAAGACTTTGTCAGAAAGAAAGAAAAAAAAAGAAAAGAGAGAGAAAGAAAACCTGCAGATATTGTTCAACATTTAAGTAATTAACCAAATACTCTTCCTGCATACATAAAATATTATAAAGACTAACAATGTGGAAAGTATTTGGTAGGCTACTAAGTGAGAAAAAAATGTGCTTTCCTAGAAGCCTCCATTGACTTTTTAAATCTCACATGCCAGTATTGGGTCATATGTTTATCTCTAACGCAATCATTAGGAAGAATAATGAAATGACTATGATTGACTTTGAACAACCATTTTGGAGAATAAATAATGAGTGATACTGAAAAGCATAAAAGAATGAGGACCATCACGTGATATTCTCAGGGACAGAATAAGTACTAAACATGTAAGAGATGGATGTGGTATATAAGACAGTAAATAGAAATTATGTGTAATTAGAAAATTGGGGAGTTAAAGGAATGACTGGTTGCTTCAGTAAGATGTAAAAAATCATTCTCTCCAATCTCTAAGGAAAAGAAAGAGAGAAACAGGGAGGAAAGGAAGGAAGGAAGAAAGGAGGGAAGGAAGGAAAGGAGGAAGGCAGGGAGGGAGGGAGGAAGAGAAGGAAGAAGAAGGAAGAAGGAAGAAGGAAGGGAAGGGAAGGGAAGGGGGAAGAGGGAAAAAAACAGGAGATGAAAAAAGGAAGGAGTGAAAAGAAAGCGAAAACATTACTTCCACATATTATCAATCTTAGAAAAAGAAGCCATGGTATCCAACCCCCTCTACATAAAACAAAGACTTTCATCTTCATTTTTTCAATTTACAGATGGTATCAGGAATAAAAGGCCTCAGATAATCTTCTAGGAAGATAGTTGAAAGGCTTAGAACTTTCCTGTGAAGCTTAAAAAGCAAGCAAGCAAGCAAGCAAGAAAAAGTGAGGCACTCCAAAAAATGCAATACAAGGTCCAATCTGCTCCAAAGTACAGTAGGTAGACCTCTACTCTTTTAAGGTGCAGTGTACGAGCTAAGCCATGATGAGAGACAAAAATACTGGGAAGGTGTAACAGTCAACCAGAAGTCTCAACGAAGAGCACCTCTCCTCAAGAGAGTTGAACTTGAAAGAAAGAAAAAAAATAAATAAAAAGGCTCAGGGAAGATCAATTCAAACCAGCCAACCTCTCTAGAGATGGAACATCAGAGACCTGGGTAGACATTGGAAAATGCCCCTTCCTGGCAATTTATTTGCAGATGATAATCCATTTTTATATTTCTCCATGAGCCCACATTTCTGGAGTGCTTTGTGACGAGGTTTTGGTAGGAAAAGCAACACATGTGTGGTAAGCACTGGAAGGAAGAGTCTAGGCGTGCAAACAGGCACACTTCTCTGCTGGCTCCACTGAGGCTGTGCAGCCATCTTTCCTAGGAGAGTTGATAGCTACTTTCATTGATTATCTACACAGGTTCTTTTCAGAGCAAGGAAATATATCAATTAAACCTTCTAGAAATTGGATTTCCTGGTTCTTTAAGTCAGTGATGTGAATTATCACCCTGTCTGGGCATCACAGAGATGGATTTCCTCCACTGATACCCAGGATGCTGTGACCAGGGATCCCAGGGAGAGAATCAGTTCACCCACTGGCCACCCAACTTTACTGCCAGTGATGACAAAAAATAAAGGAGTTTCACTGCCGCCAGTTTTGAATGTAAAGATTAAAGTACAAACTCAGTACTCTCACTTGACAAAAAATAAAGATGGGGAGAAGTTTCTTTTATGTTTCAGGAAATTATTACATTTTGGTGAAACGCTTAGAGGTATAATATGAGCTGGATAATTTTCACAGCATTTGATGTAGCAAATGTTGTGGGGCTTTTCCATGACACATAATCAGTATTAAGCCAACATTTATAAAATAAAAAATGAAACCAAGTTTCTCACCAGGAAAATTGGTTTCCGTTCAACAAGATGTCCTACGGCATCCTTATAATTTTTAGGTTTCATTCTCAGTAGTCCCTTTAACCACAAGGGATGACAGTTAAAATAAAGAATCATTGGTGTCCCCTCATAGGAAGTGTACCAAAATATTAGGCGAGTATCTGACCCCAAGTAAATATTTAATGATAACCATTGGTTTGATACTTCTTCTGCCCCTTTTTTGATTATAAAAAAACAACAAACAGTGCTTGCTTCGACAGCACATAGTATACTAAAATCGGAACGATATAGAGATTACCATGGCCCCTGCACAAGAATGACAAGCAAATTCGTGAAGCGTTCCATATTTAAAACAAACAAACATTGCTGGCATATTTTAGGTGAACCCTCTTCCTGATACTGTATTTAGTATAAGATTGATTGTAACATGTCTGAGAACACCATAAATTAATGCCATTGACACTATATAAATTTAAGGCATCGTATAAACTAAACAGGTTAAGATACAATCCCTACCCTTTAATAGCATATAACGGAACAAGGGAACTAAAACATATACACTTATAAAACCCACAAACATATATATGTATATGTATATATATGATTATGTTGATGTTTATCAAAAGCTAGTCTTCTACCCATAATTCATATCAAATACATTTAGTAGCCTTGTTGAAATGCATGTGCCTAGGTCCCCTCTCAGATTGATTAAATAAAGCATTCAGGAGAATGGGGCCTAGGAAGTTGCATTTTGGAGCCACTCCAAAGCTTGGAAAATTTCGCAGGATATAAATCTACTAGAAAGTATTAAGGACTAGAAGTTCTCCAAGGAATTAGTGGCAGAAGGAGATCACAGTTCATTGAGGTAATCAGGAAAAGTGACTGATTATGTGAGATTTGAACTTAGTTTTGAATAACAATCCATATTTTGGCAGTAGTAAGAACACAATATGCATATTTAATAATCCACATTTTGGATTATTAAATCCATATTTAGTAATCCATATTTTAGCAGTGGTAAGAACACAAGATCAAAAAGTAACATTAAAAATATGTTGATGGGAAAAGAAAGCCAATGGTTTTGGCTAACATTGAGAAGTTCTTGCAGAAGAAACTAGAAAGATCATTTTAAAAGATTCTTGAATGCCTAATCACCATCCCTAGAATCACTCTAATTTTCAAAACAATAGGTAGGTAAAGATTTAGTTATAAGTAATACAATTACACTAATAAAGTATGGTTAGTTAAATATATATATATATATATATATATATATATATATATATATATTGTACTTTAGGTTCTGGGGTACATGTGAAGAACATGCAGGATTGTTGCATAGGTACATACATAGCAATGTGGTTTGCTGCCTCCATCCCCATCACCTATATCTGGCATTTCTCCCCACGTTATCCTTCCCCAACTCCCTACCCCCCACTGTCCCTCCTCTAGTCCCCCCCCAACAGACCCCAGTGTGTGATGTTCCCCTCCCTCTGTCCACATGTTCTCATTGTTCAACCCCTGCTTATGAGTGAGAGAATGCAGTGTTTGATTTTCTGTCCTTTTGTCAGTTTGCTGAGAATGATGGTTTCCAGAAAAATTGCAAATGTTTCTGAGTTGGTGGGATACAGATAACCTTAACAGAGCACCCACTATACTAAAAATATACATATACATATGTGTGTGTGTATGTATATATATATGTAATGTTGAAATCTCTCAAAATTACCTTTCCTAAGTACTGTGCCAGCCCCAAAGAAACCAGGAGTTTTTTAAGAATTACAAAAATAAATTTTCCTGCTCCTAGAACTGCCACAGTGGCCAATAGATTCTCTGCTTTCTATTGCAATTCAAAGAAGCTGATGTGTGTTCTGAGTCTTCACTCAAATGCATTTATTCTCTTTCATGAGAGGGGAAAGGGAACACCCCAAGTCCATTTGTTTCTTTTTTCAAATTGACACATAATAATTGTACATATTTATGGGAAATGTGATATTTTGATGCATTCATACACTGTGTGATGACCAAATCAGGATAATTAGAAAATCCATCACCTCAAACATTTATCGTTTCTTTGTGTCATACAAATCTATTCTAATCCTGAAAGTTAAAACTCCCACCCCACTGGTTGCTGAGTAAGGGAAACAAGCTGAAAAGTTAACTGTTGGAAAATCTGGCACAGTGTATCTACTTCCTACTTTGTATTTGTATTAATAGGTGAGTTCCTACCACTGCCTTTTTCTGTGAAGGTGAAACCTGATGTGAGCCGTATCTCCATTCCTTCCAGTGCCCTGCTGGTGGCAGCAGAAGGGCGAGTACAGGTAATCCACAATTAGGTGTTGGGCAGAGGAAGGCTGTCAGATCCGGGGAAAAGTATACCATGCTGTTTAAAAGATCTGGTCCCTGATTGGAAATGCTTCACTGTTTCTTTGAAGACTTTCATTTCAAGGTGAAAGCCAAGATCTAAGTAAATAAAAGAGGAAAGGAAAAAGAAGGAAACTGAAAGAACAGAACAGAATGCAATATTTGAACTTGGAGAATGCTGTAAGTTCTAAATTAATAGGACCATAATTAAAAATAGATTTTGCATAGTAAAGTTCTAGTAAGATCAATGATCCAAAAGAAAAAATATATGTGGGTATCTGGGGCTTAACTTACATGTTTGAAAATGTTTTTATCCAACTTTTTTCTTGTATCAACATGAAGCATAAAAGACCAGAAGAACTCAAAGGAACATGGTACAAAACAAGAGGCCAAAACTGAAGTTTAAAGAAAGTTGTAAAATAAGTAAAGAATGAAATATGGGTAGAAACTGAAGAGTACCAAACAAGATGGAGTTGGTAAGAATGAGAATGCAGTAAAAAGGAGTAGGGTGGGGAGGGGGTAGTCAAGAAACTTTAGTTAATGGCAAAACACACCTGAAGAAAATGTAAAACTCCACAAATAAACAGATTCTGAGTTTTTCTCTCTCTCCCGTGATGATTATGCCATTTGTGCTGCACCAGAATGGGTGAACATCATTATAGCAGGATCTTTTTCTTCCACAGCTCCCACTGTACATCCAGCTTCACTTCCTGCTGATCTTTCTTCTGCTTCCTTTTAGGACTTGAGATATATTTGGCAAAACTTCTGAACACAATTCTCATCCACAGTACCAGAATTGCTGGGAGCAACTACTTTTCCAGGAAAAGTTCTGCATAGCTGTTGTTTTTCAGACATATCAGCTCTAGAGAGTGTGCACCATTATACTTTTTATTGAAACATGTTGCCCACACATAGGAGGCACGTTCAGAATAACCCTGTGCCTAACTTTGTCCTGTACTTCTTTCTGCTGTTTTGTTCACCTGCATATTCAAAGTAAACTTGAGTCTGCCTTTTTGCTTAAGAAAGACTGCCTTTCTCAACACAATAGGATAAAAACCGAACAAAAAACAAACAAAAATTTCCTCAGCTTACTCCCAATTCCTCTATGTGATATAGTTAGATGAGAGACGCTGAGGTGATAGCGATCAATATATCCTGCTTCATTATTATATTGATACTGGATTATTATATAATGCATATATTATTATGCAAGTAAAGTAAAATTATTATGAAAACTAACTGTTTTTCAGTCTTACTGTAAGCCAGGCACTATTCTAGGAGCTTTTCATTTATTAGCACATTTAGTCAAAATAAAACTAGGAGGTAGATGTGAAAATTAGTCTTATTTTACAGATGTGAAAACTGGCTTATAAAAAAATTAAATTTGCCCAAGATTACTCAGCTAGGAAGAGGTGGAGCAATAATTCTAACCCAAGTTTTATAGTCTCAAATCCCAGTAACTTTACTTAAAAAATAAGTGGTACATATATATATTTATATAACCCAAACACACAAGCAACACATACATAGAACTTTGATTTGTGTACAATGAGCATTCTTTGTTCAGCCAAATAAAAAGATTATAGAAAGCAAACCCAACAGACATCAGAGATTTAATTTCAGTTTGGAAGCACCGAGTACTAATGGAGTGACAATAAGACAAAAATAGTCACAAAAAGAGTTAAGGACCACATTATTTTCAGCAGCTTTGGTCTGAATGGGGTGCCCTGAGTGCTTCTCATGTAAGTAAACACTGGAAAGAAGAAAACACTCAAGAAATTTCATGAGTATGGGGGAAGGAAGCCCACTGGTATATGGGGTGTGAGTTGACGGAGGACTCTCCTTCCTGAAATGCCAAGGAAAGCTTCATTGGAAAGGTTGGCTATGGGATTCCAGGATACCAGAGCTGAGATAGGAGTATCTTTTGAGATCTTCTGTTCTTTAGAGTCAATCACTTCTTGCCCACCCCTATGGCCCATCTATTTGTTACTTTGCCTTCATGTATCAGAGGGTGCCAAAATTGACCCTGAGAATAAACTCCAGTTGGTATTCTGTGTCCATTGGCAATTGTCTGAAGTCTTCCTCCCTAAGGTTTCAATTACAGAAGACAGTGTTAACTTTTCATAGGCTACAATTTAACATCTGCTCCTGCCAGGTTTATTTCATCTGGCCTGGGAGAAATAACATAAGTAACACTTCCCCTCTCCCCTGCTCTGCCTGATGAAATGGGATATAAAACACAGAAAGGTGGCAAGGAAGAAAATATATTGAAGTTCCTTTACCTTTGCTGGATTAAGTATTCAGAGATCAAAGACAGTATTAACAGAACCTTAATTATGTGATAGAGAAAATAATATTGATGCACTTTTTCTTCTTTTGATGGGTTACAGAATATGTGTTATGTGTCATTACGTAACTATCATCAGTCTCATTGTTTACAACTGGACTACAAAAGCTGCATGAATAAGGCTTGAAAGAAAAAATAAAAATAGTAACTAGAAATAGATGCAACTAAATATGGCGTAAAAAAGCAATAACTGTAGGATCTTTCACTAATCCTTACTCCCATTTCTAATAAACTTAATGGGAAGTTATAATATGTATCCCTTAGAAATACATAGTAGCAGCCCCATGGATGTGAGACAGAGGTGCATAGAGGGGACTCTTGTTGATTTTGCTGTCTAGACTAGGGCTTACATTGATTAGTTTTTATAAAAATAATCAAAGAAGACCTGGCCAGTAAAAACAGAATTAGCTAAAGGAAGGCTTTGGTAACCAAATGCAAGTTAAATGTCTGCAACTCCAGGAAGAGAATGGGTTATTGGTTATTTGATTTTTGTTGTTGTTGTTGCCTGTCCATAAGTAATAGAAAATAGTTGACCATATCCTGTGACTTTAAACTATCAAAGTTTCCCCCCAAATATTGTTTCTCAAACTGTACTTGCTGAGACAACAAAGAGGTTCCTAGGCTGTTTCCCGTAGCTAGG